GTCCTGGGCCCACCTGTCCTAGACCCACCTGTCCCGGGTCCACCTGTCCCGGACCCACCTGTCCCGGGCCCACCTGTCCTGGACCCCCATCTGTCCTAGACCCCCTTGTCCTAGACCCGCCTGTCCTGGGTCCACCTGTCCTGGACCCACCTGTCCTGGACCCTCCTGTCCTGGACCCACCTGTCCTGGGTCCACCTGTCCTGGGCCCACCTGTCCTGGACCCACCTGTCCTGGACCCACCTGTCCTGGACTCACAAGATGGCTCTGACTGTCCTTCCAGGACTGTGGAACTGACCCCCATGGTCGCTGTGGAACCCCTGTGCGGTGGAATGCTCCCAGGAGCTGCAGACTGTCAGGCAGCTTTACTTAGGAAGATTCCCTAGAGGGAGTCCTAAGCCCAGTCTGCCTGGGGCCCCCTGCTGCTCTCTCCCTTATGCCCCTGTCTCTGGAGCTCTGTCCCTTCCAACGAGGATGCTTAGGGTCGATGTGCCTGCTAAGGGCTGGGTGAAAATGACGGACAGGGATCCCGGGCCTTCCTCTCGTTTGGTGCTTTCACCACTCAGGCCATGCCGAGTGTTCTGCAGAGAGGTGGGGTCAGTCCTGCCGATAGGGACCCCCACGAAGCATCCATGTTCCAGCCCTCACAGGAAGGAAGCCGCAGAGTTTTTGCTGGCCGAGCCCCTCCTCCAGGCTTCCTGGATAGGAAGCAGTGGTGCTGCTCAGCACACAGCCCCTTGGCGCCTTCCCTCCTCCCCTGGGTCTGGGGTGGGCTGGGGGCCACCCCTGCTGCTTCGGCTTCTGGGCCCAGCTCCCTGACTACAGACAGGGGATCGTGTTACTGTGGGCTGGGGCCTCACGGAGGCGTGTCCTCCTTCCCAGCCAAGGTGCTGGGATCCTGACTGTCACCTGCCCCAAATCCAGCCTGGGCCCTGTCTGCTCTTGGGTGGGTCAGAGGAGACCTGAGAACCGGTGCGGCTGCCGGGTCCAGGCTGTGGTTTGGGTGAAGGACAAAGGGACGTCTCTTCTGCCCCCTTCCCCAGTTCTGTTTCCTCGGTTTCTTCATCTCTCCTTCCCATCCTCTTTTCAGCTCCCCCAGGGGTCCAGCTCCCTATCCGGCACTGAAGGTCAGAAATGGACCTTACTCAGCCCTGCACACAGCAGGAAACTTCTGCTGCGGTAGCTGCACAGGGCTGGGGTGCGTGATCAACGGCAGGGCCAAGGCTGGGCAGCCGCAGGGCCAACCTCCTACCCTCCATCTGTACCGCCTTCCCCGCCCCTACCAGGGAATTGGCTTCAGGGGGCTGGGAGCAACGTGGCTGTGTTTCTGGGCATCACAGCATCGCCCAGACCCAGAGCTGGACCTGTCTTCTGGCTCCTCTTTCACCAGGGACAGGGGGTCAGACCGAGTCACAGGGCCAGGTGCCCGCGGTGGGGGCCAGGTGGGGTGGCCTTGGGTTACCGGTGACAGCTTGGTCTGAGTCTCCTCTGGGAGAAGAAATGGAGGGCCTTAGCAGGAGGCAGGGGCACCTGTGGGATGCCTGAGCCTCCCACTCTGCCTCCAGCCCTGCTGTGCAACCTGGGTGCTGACCTCACATTCTCTCTATTCCAAACGCGCCTCTTCTTGGCTGCAGTGAACTCTGCAGCTGTGGGCGGAGAGCTGAGGATGGCCCTGAGAATCTCCAACGTGGCAGAGGTTCCACGCAGTTGTCAGAGTCCCCCACCTCCGTTTCAGAGTTGAGCAGTTGCTGGCAGGACACGGAGGGTGCCCAGGCTTCAGATCCGGGTTCAGGCCCAGCAGTGCGGCCTGTTCACCTCTGAGGGGGTGGCCTGCCCTGCCCTGTGCCCTGTCTGATCTGACATGCAGCCCTCCAGCGTCTCGCTGCCTCGGGGTGGGCCCTGGGAGTGGCCCTGGCCAGACCCTCTCTCTGCAGACGCTGCAGGACCAGCAGGCTGGACGGTGGCTGGGAGGCAGGGGACAGGTTGGCCAATTAGGTCCTGGGGGCACAGAGATGCTCCCGCCCTGAGCCTGTGGCCCCTCCTCCTGTGCCTTGTGAGGGTTGCCGCGGTAGGCCACCCTTCTCACCAGTGCCCAGGAAGGACCCCTGCTCCCAGCTCCCTTCCTCCCCGTCCCCTCACCACTGGCAACCGTGGTGGTGGCATATGGGTCTCCCCACATCACAGAGGAGGAGACTGGGCTGGAGAGGTGGGGGATGGGGGCTCCCTGCGGGCAGACCCTCAGGTGGGAGCCCCAGGCGCAGGGAGGGAAGGGGGATCTGGGGGGGCGGTGGCCTGGTCCCCCCCTCGCCTCGTGTGCACCCGGAGCCCCGGACCCCAGCACCCCCTCCCTGCCGCGCGCCTGGCGCTCCCGGGGCTCCTGGCGGCCTGCCCAGGAGGGCGGGGGCGGGGATGCTGCTCGCACGCGAGGCCCCATCGCGTGACTGTGCCGGCGGCTGCGGGGGAAGTGGGGGGAAGTGAGTGGGCGCCCGCGGGGGGGCACGCGACGCTGGGGGGCCCGCCCCCGCACCTTCGCGCTTCTCTCCCCGGGAAGAGGCCGGGCCCGGGTCCGGGGCGCCTCGCGGGTGGGGCGGGGTGGCTCCGGCGCGGCGACCCCTGCGGCGGGTCTGGCTGCCCGGGCCGGGCGCGCAGGCGATTGTGGCCGCCTCTCCCGGGAGCGCCCGGGGCGGCGCGGGGCGGGGTGGGGGTCTCGCGGGGCTGCGCCTGCCGGGGTCCCTCCTCGCTGGAACCTCCCCCCGGGCCTTGGGGCGCCTCCCTGCACTGGCTCCTCTTGGGTCCGCGCTTGGGAGAAGGGCCTTCGGCTTTCCGAGCAGCGTGTTGTGTGAACCGTGGGGTCCCCGGCTGAGCCTGGGGCGCAGGAGGCTAGGCGGCCGGGGTTTCCAGGTGGGGAGCCGCCGCCCCTGTCCCGGGGGGCCCCCACCTCGGTGGACTGCTCCTGCTTCCTCAGAATAGTCCTGCTTTGTGGCAGAAGGAATGAGGCGTTTCTTGTTGCGTTTCGTGCAGTGAGCAGAGATCCAGCTCCCACCGGCTATGGGAGTCCAGGCAGCGGGGAGGGCTCAGAGACCGGGGGGCGGGGAGCGGGACAGGGAGGCCTAGACCCAAGGCCGCCGGTGCCACCGCCTCCGGGCTCCCGGCTGCCTCCCTGCCTCACTCAGGCCCTCGCCCCCCACGGACACCTCAGCTCGCCAGCCCCTCTGCAGCTGGCACCCCAGACTCTGAATCAGTGGCCTCCCCTTTCCCGTGGGGGGTGCGGGCCCCGCCCAGCTGTCGGTTCCGCGGTGAGGGTGAGGGGTCTTCCCACGCAGTGGTCCTGGCCTGATGGGGAGCGGGTTCACCCAGCGTCCAGACCCCAGCTGTGCTCACCAGGGCCTGGGGACACCACAGACACTGGTTCTGGGGGCCGGGGGCCGCCGGCCCAGGGACTGCGGGGTGAGGAGAGCTCAGAGGAAAGTGTGACCCACTTTGAATAGCAGGTGGAGGCCTTGATGGCAGCCAGGAGGATTCCCGGGAGCAGGAGTGCGGTTCAGGCCACACACATTGCAGAAGGCTCCCAGGTGACACAGTGCCACCTGCGCTGCAGGTTGGGAGGAAGTCCCGCCCACCCTGAGTGAGAGGTTAAGCTTCTATTCAAGGGCTAATTCTGTTTCTTGATAATATACCCAGAAGTCTCACATCATTTGGGGACTGGGATGGGCCACAAGCAGACACGTGCTTTTTGATGAGGCTGTGGGCCTCAGACTTGGTTTTCTGTGTGTCGGGCTCTTGCTGAGCATCAGGGTGGAGTCTAAGTCTGGCCCAGTGAGGAGCGAGGGTGGTGGAGGCGGCTGCTTTGGAAACGGCTGTGTCTCCCTAACCAATGGAAGTGCGTGGATCCTGGGCTGAGCCATGCCTGCTCCTGAGTGGAAATCCCAGCACAGCCCACCCACTGTGAAGGACGGCCATGCTGGCCTTCAGGTGCTGTGCACGGTGACAGTTTTTATGCCATCTCAAGGTCAGAACCAGTGGCAAAGTGGCATCTGCCTGAGTGGACACCAGCTGTGGCATCAGCTGAGGATCTGGGAGACGTGGGAGCAGCAGGCGCCCCCCACGGCCTCAGCGGGGGTGCTTCCATCCACGCACTGGGGTCAGCCGCTTGCCCGGAGGCCTCTCCCCTCTGCCCTGTCAGATGCTGGGGAGGGGCGTCCCTCCCATGAGGACACTGAGCGGGCAGTGAGCACCTGTGCTGGCCTGGAACTCAGCCCCCGGCCAGCTGAGGTGAACGGCGTCGTCTGTCCTCCTGAGCTCTGCACTCAAAAGTGGAGAAACTGCTTTATCCTCGGGGGTGGGGGTGTCCTTGGGGGCTGCTCACAGTCACCGGGAAAGGGGTGGCACATGCCGCTGCCCTGGACCTGCCTTTCTTTGCCCTGCTGTGTTCTGTGCAGCTCCTGAAGCCTGGGGCCAGGCCTGCTCCTCACCAGGGAGGGGCTGCGGGGGTCCCAGGAGGGAGAGGTGATATGGCTGTGCAGGGCACAGAAGATCCGGGTGGACGCAGGGGCCTCGGCCCAGCCCTCAAGGGGGTGCACCCCACAGTGCGGTGGGTCTCAGGAGAGGGGCCGTGGGGACCCCCGGGTGGCTGCGGGGGATCTGGCAGGAAGCTGGACTTTGTCCCAAGATGGGTGGGAGCCCTGGGGGTTGGGCAGGAGGAGACAGCAGTTTCTGTGGAGCAGAGTGGGAGCGTTCTCAGGTCGGGCTCTGCCCCCAGGTCCTGGTGTGCCCTGGCCCCCTGGCTGACCTGGGGCCTGCGTCTCGGCGCCCCTGCCCCCTCGGACCCTCAGGGCTGTGCTGGGAATGCTGTGTGGCCTGCAGGGGGTCAGTGCCGCCCAGGCCAGGTGTCAGGCGCAGGCGTGAACTGTGGGGTGAACGTGGGAAGCAGAAGAAAGACGCAATGAAGCCGAGTGGCCAGGCCGGGGCTGGGGGTGCCTGACGTGTGTGTTCTTTTCTGACAGCTGTGCAGGAGCAGGGCTCACGGCAGCCGGCGGCCGGCACCCCCTCACCTGGAGACAGCCGTCCTCCTGCAGGGTCTGCGGTGCTGGAGGGAAGGCTGCTGCTGGAGGTGAGTGCCACCCTGGGTTCCCGGGACGTGTCACACTTGGTGCTCAGTGTCAGGAGGCCCTTAGGTTGTGACGTTTGTAATGATCAAGAAGCGTAGGCTCCAAAATGTGTTGAAGAAGGGTGTCCTGGGTCAGGGTCCGCCTCCGGTGTGAGCCCCATGGGCTGGGACAGAAAGGGCAGCCTGAGAGCTCACGGCCCCGTGTGCCGCTTCAGAAAATCACCCGCATGCTGCACACTCTGCTCCTGCGTGTCAGTGAGAGAACCTTGTGCAAAATTAAGCCTTTTTCCCCAAAATGAAGGATTTGGCAAAGTCTGCACTGGACTTCCCTGGTGTGGTTTCAATCTCGGTGGCCTGTGTGACAGCCTGGAAGCTGTGGGCCTGGGCAGGAAGTTCCATGGGGGGTGTTTTTCACCACATCTCCCCCTTCCCTCGTCTCTGAAGTGCTGGGTTTTCCCTTGCCTGTGACTCGGGGCCTGTTACCCCTCTGGGAGGGGAGACTGCGGACCATTTTCCCAAACAAGGTAAGATGGTGGCATGGAGCCCTCTGGGTTGAATCCAGTCACTGTTCTGAAGATGAAGGGGGTTGCTGCCTCCACCAGTGGCCAGAGAGACATGGGCCCTGGGTGGTCCCAGGACGGGGCTGGTGGGCTTACAGGGAGGAGGTGGGGGCAGCATGGCACTTCCCAGGTAACAGGGTGGGCTCCAGCCGGAACTCAGGACCCCTGGGTGGGGCAGGAGGGCACCAGCCAACCTGCTCCAGTTGAGAGGGCACTGGGTCCTGGGTGGCAGGCTGCCCCACAGCCAGCAGCCTCTGTCCCCCTCTGAGCTTCACACCCCCAGTGCCTGGGAGAGGCTCCCCGAGCCCCTCCCCAGGTCCTCCTGTGTGACTCCAGGTCAGTTCACAACCATCAGCTCGCTCTGCCCCGACCCGCCTTGATGGGCCCCTGTGCCGGGGCCTGGGAAGCCTGGAGCCTGCAGGTGGGAGGCCTGGGCCTGGTTCCCTGCTGTGGACTTCCTGCCCTGCTCCCAGCTGCGTGGGATATTTGGGAGCTACCCCTGAGGGGGGACTCTCCAAGGAGACTTTGGAAGAGGCATGGAGGCTGGGGGTCGCAGTCCGCCCGTCTGCTCCGGGCCCTGTGGCCCTCCTGCTGCCCAGCCCGACCCCCCTGCCTGGCCAGAGCACTGGTCATACCCGCTGGTTTGCAGGAGGGTGAGCAGTTCCCAAAGTCTCCACCCACTGCATCTGGTTCATGTCCTCTGGCCCACGGAAGTTCTGGAAGTTTGCTTAGATTGCAACCAGTAGGGTTAGGGTGAGGGTTAGGGTTAGGGATCCTCACAGCATTGCCAGGGCAGTGAAGGGGGTTATATGCTCTTTTTGAAGCTTAAAAATATTCAAGTTGGGCAAAATAAGCAAAGCAAGCAACAAAACCAGCAAATTCCAGTGTTTACTTCTAATCTTCAATCTCTTCACAATAAACTGAAGAACAGAACAGGAGAGGTTTACGGCAGGGCACCCTAAATCCAGAAACAGCCCTGAGCTGGCACAGGCTTCAGAGCGCCTGTGGCCGTGGTCTGTTGATTTAAGATGAGGAAGTTAAGGACTGGAGCCTCCAGGTGCCCTGTGGGGCTGAGCTGAACCCAGCGCTTCATATTTTAGATGCTCCGCATGTTCAGAGAGACTTTAGTAGCAATTTAGAAACGACCCCTGAGAATGTTGTCTGGACCCGGTGTTTCTTTGTCCTGAGTTCATCGGGTCTTGGACTCCAAGCCCCCGGCCTTCCCCAGCGAAGCCAAGACAGACGGTCACAGCCTGCGGTGACCCTGCTGCACCTCTCGGCCGGTGCTGGGGTGGGAGGGTGGAGGGATGGGGAGAGGTGGGAGACTACAGAGAGAAACCAGGAGGAGGGTCCAGGGATTCTGGGGATACAGCAGGTGAGCACCTAGAGTAGGCCTCAAGCTCCCTGCATGATAGAGTCAGAGCTACTAGGTTTTCCTTCTGATTTGTAGGTGGGCTACAGGGCTGTTGTGTTTATTGTGACTCACTGGAGCCACGGACATGAGCTGTCTCTGGATAGGGTGCCGTCACTGACTGCTTAACTTAACTGGTACTAATATAGTTAAAATCAAGTGTGTGGTAATGCAGGGTGCATTTTCCAACACTTACTTAAAAATCTGCATGCACTAAAATTCATTCTTTCGGGTATTCCATGGGATGTGAGTGCCACCGTCATGAAGATCCAGAGCCCGCCCGTCCCCAGACGTTTCCCCTCTGCTGCTGTCCGCAGTCACAGCCCCCTGCCCGTGGCTGCGACCATGTGTGCTCCGTCCCTGCAGCGTCTCCTGTGCGTCTCTCTGGGTGTCCTGCACACAGAGTCACACGCGTGGCCTTTGGAGGCCGGTTTCACTCAGCACAGTGCCGTTGAGGTTCGCCCACGGTGCCCCGGGTCGCCAGCTGGTTTCTTATTACTGCAGGCCGCTGCTTTGTTTCTTGTTATTGATGAAGTATGGACGGGCACCACGTGCCATTCAACTGTTGAGGGATATTTGGGTTGTTTCTAGGTTTTGGTGTTTATGACTAGAGCTGCAGTAGACATTCACATGCAGGCGTTTCTGTGCGCATAGGTCTCCGTTTCATGACTAGTAAGCATGTTTGTGACTCTTACCCCCCAGCAGTGAGTGAGTGTTTCGGTTGCCCGGTATCTTTGTTTTTGCACTTGGTGTGACTGTTGTCAAAGCCATTTTAATACTGGGATCTTGTTAGGGTTTTAGTTTGGATTCGCCTGTGACTAGCCGTGATGTGGACCTTTTCATCTGCTTCTTTGCATTCGTGTGTCATCTTTTCATGTCTGTAGGTTCCGTGGTGATGTCTCCTCTTTCATTTCCTTGGTAATTTGTGTCTTCTCTCATATTTCTTGGTCAGTTGAGTTAGAGGTTTATCAGTTTTACTGGATTTTTTTTCAAAGAAGCAGCTGTTGGTTTTATTTTCTGTTTTCAATTTTATTGATACTTATTCTTATCTTTATTATTTTCTTCTCTTTGCTTGGCTTGGATTTAATTTCTTCTCCTTTTTCTAGTTTTTTTTTTTTTTAAGTGGAAGCTTAGATTATTGAATTTGTCTATTTGTCCATTTTCCATTTCATTAATTTCCACTCTTCTTGTTTGTAATTTATTTCCTTCTACTTGCCCTGATTTTAAATATTTTATTTTTATTTAGATTCTTAAGATGGAAGCTTAAATCATTGATTTTTTAAATCAACCATTCTTACTCTATAATGTAAGCATTTAGTGCTATAAATTTTCTTTAAGCACCTTTAACTGTATCACACAAATTTTGATGTGCTCTGTTTCCATTTCCATTTAGTTCAGAGTAGTTTCTAACTGTCCTTGGAACTTTCTCTTCAGCTTGTGTTATTTTGAATTATGTTATTTAACTTACAAATATTTGGACATTTTCCAGGTATTTTGATGCTGTTGAATTCTGGTTCAATTTTTTTATGGTCACAGAATATACTTTTTAATGATTTCTATTCTTTTATATTTGTTAAAGATGATTTTAATATGATCTGTCTTGATGACAGTTTCATTGCACTGGGAAAATAGAGGTGTTCCACTGTCACTGTGTGAGGTGTTCTGTAAACAGTAATTATATCCCATTGACTTGTTGTGTTCAAGTTATCCTGGATTTTCTGTCTAGTCTCAACCTGAGAGAAGGGTGTCAGCATCTTAAAGTATGATTATGGATTTTTATATTTCTCTTTTTGGTACTTTCAGATTTTGCATCAGGTATTTTGGAATTCTGTTGGAGGGTGCATACTCACGTAGGATATTACTATGTTTTCTTCATAAATTTACCCTGTATGTAAAATGCCCCTTCATTCCAGGTAGTTTCCCTCGTTCAAAGTCCACTTTGGTACTAAAATAGCGATTCCAGCTTTCTTTTCTTTCTTTTGTTGGTTTTTTGTTTTGTTTTGTTTTGTTTTTTTTTTAAATAGAGACAGGGTCTTGCTCTGTTGCCCAGGCTGGGCTGCAACACTGTGATCACAGCACACTGCAACCTCAAACTCCTGAGCTCAAGAGATCCTGCTGCCTCAGTTTCTTGAGTAGCTGGGACTGCAGGCATGTGCCACCATACCCAGCTAGTTAAAAAGATTATTTTTAATAGACATGAGGGTGTCACTGTTGCTCAGGACAGCCTAGAACTCTTGGCCTCAAGAAGTCCTCCCACTGCAGCCTCCCAAAGTGTTGGGACTAGAGGTGTGAGTCACCACACCCAGCCCCCAGCTTTCTTTTGATTGATGTTTGCTTGGAGTATCTTACTCCACCCTTTTATTTCTAACCAGTTTATGTTGTTATATTAAAAGTGTGGGTTTTTTGGCAGTATATAAGTTGGGCCTTGATTTTTTTTTAATCAAGTCGGACAATCTCCATCTTGTAATTGGTGTGTTCAGAACATGTATCATGTGTGTTGGTCATACATGTAAAATGCCTCCTTATATCTGCTAGTTTCCCATAGTAATCATGGATCTTATTGGTTTGAAGTCTACTACTTTATTATTTTCTATTTTTGTTTCCTTCTTTCATCTTTTCTGCCCTCTCTTTGATTATGGGAATATGTATTGGCATTACATTTTAGCTTATCTACTGGCTTTTGGGTGTATATTTTCTTATTTTTTAGTTGTTGCTT